GGTCTGCACTAAATCAACAAACAGCTTCCCGACAGTTACTTAGGAAGGGAATTAGGAGGTTGCAAAAGCTTTGTCCCAAACCAGACAGATTTCAGAAAACTGTTAAAGACATTATAAAATGCAATAGGAGCTACAAAGGGGCTGGAGCAAGGTGGGTGATCTGCAGGGAAAACCAATCTGTTTTCTTTACAAAATCTGGGGACTCCCACCCATATCTCCTTTTGCTTTCCTCCTGCCTTTGTGTTTTGATACCTCAGGGATACTGACTCCAGTTTTCAGTAAAGGTGACAAAGGCTCAAGAGAGAAAGAGTACATTTTCTTTTACTGCTGGAATACATCTCTCCTTGTTGTGGCCGCTATAATTCAAGGACATTATAATGGCATTAAACCCCTCTGGTGCTGTGCTCCCTTGCTAAAGCCTTTCTGGGCTTTGTGTCACAGGAACTTTTCACACAACTACGCTGAGCTGCCTTCCATTAATTAAGGAAGGCTGTACTTCGTGCTCACAAGATACTCCAGAAATTCTCTCGATACAGAAGACTTTTATCTTGAGGCAACTGGGGTTTGAATGGCTTTTTTGGGCACAAACTCGGTAGGTTATAAAAGTGCTTTGGGTTTCATTTGGCTCCTGCAGCTCCACCTCTTTTTCTTACATCAGTGAACAACTAAGACAGCCTCCTTGGAGACACACGCACGTCTCTAATCTCCATGCGCCAGGGCAGGAGAGGTCAGAGGTCCCTTATTGCCAGCACAGCACAGAATTAGGAATTAGATTTCTAAGTGCGCCATGTACATACCAAACACGGGGCTTCTGGCAAGCTGGACGTTGAGTTCAGTCATCAGCGCTACAAAATGTGCAGAGTGGAATATTTCAAATGTGCTCAGCATTGCGTTTGATTCAACCCCCCACTCCTATTGGCAGAAATGGGAATAGAGTTAAGTCCTACCACAGAATCCTCGCTGCAGATATGCGTTCCTCAGCCCCCTGTGCAGGTACAGTGGGTACCCCAGAGCTGTGTCCAAAATTCAGCTGGTAGCGT